TAATTTATAATACTTGTCTTGTTCTCCTACAGTTTATTTTTATGAGAAAATATCCTAGAGTCTTGAGCATCGAGAGGCTGGAAACTTTATGCCTTTATGGGTTTTACAGTTTTTTTAAAAAGGCTAGAATTTTACTTATTTATGGGGGGAAAATGTCACTTGGTGTTCTAATAATAATGACTTCCCATAAAAATATTCACCACTTACAACTTTGTGATGGCCTTGTACTCTATCTCTAAGCCTGGACAGAGTCAGATTAAGGAACGGATTCTCTAATGATGCTGACAACAATCCTGTCACTCTGGCCCCTAACCCCAGCCTCAGCAAGAGGCTTTCAATTCACAAACTTAAACAGATTTGCCAACACGTCAAAAAGAACCTTTATTACTTTTATAATAATCTCTTATGCTTTCTTGCCAGATGGCTTTGGAGCAGGTGCTTTCTGGGCTGGAGCTTTTTGACCCTTTTGAGCTTTCGGAGGAGGTGCTGCCTTCTGGCCTGTGGCTTTCTGGGCAGGAACCTTCTGGGCTGGAGCCTTCTTGCCTGCAGTGGTCATCTTTTTTGCTGGAACTTTAGCAGCAGCTGCTGCAACTGCAGCAGCACCCTTAGCAGGTGCTTTTTTGGGAGAAGCTTTTAGGAGAGCTGCCTTTTGAAGCTTCTTAACTTCATTCTTGATTATTCTGTTCCTCATTTTCTTTGCCTTCATTACTTTAAAACGATCAAAGTCCGTCATCTTAGCTTTTCTTTCTCTGGCTTCAATCTTCTTGGCCCATCTTGTGGCCGCCCATTTTGTATTTATATCTGCCTTCTGCCAGGCTTGTCGGACATACTTCTGGCGGTCACTGTGTGGGAACTTGAGGATGAAGTCAGTGAGCTGCATGCATTTGAAAGGCATGGCCTGTCTTCTTACCTGAGTGCAAGGTCCATCAACCAAAGCCCTGTTCTGGTCAATAACATCTACAATCGCGACCAACTTTCCGGCATGAAGCCCAAAGGAGACGTAGGCCACTCGGCCAACCTCCATGAAGCGCCTGAACACCATGGCGGCGGCGTTCGGCGAGAAGGAAGAAGCCAGTTCTTCTTTTTTTTAACAAAAAACCTTTCCCCCTCCCAAGAATTGGAAGAATGGACTTGCTGTTTTCTGAGGTTGGGAAGATTGTACAAGCACAGGTTTGAGGATGGAGGGTTGGAGGTGTGAACACTGGGAAGTTACAGAGCCTGCCTGTTCTGAGTTTGAGATGCTGATTAGACCCCCAGGTGGGGACATTAAGCAGTTGGATAATACAAGCCTTTGAGACTATAAATATAAATTAACTGTAAGAAAGTCCTTTGCATACTAATAACATAACTGAAAAGACTAGTAAAGAAAAAATTGGTCGCTTCCCACCCACACAACAGTCAGCAGTGTTTACCTTTTTATATATAATTCATGCTGTCTCCTGTCATCAATTGTTATTTGGCTCTTAGGTTTCCACCCCCAACCTCCTTTAAAATCTCATTTTCTCTCATTTCCTTAGTGTGCCTTTTATGTTAGAATAATTCCGAGGTCACTGGAGCGCCTGGCTCGGTTTCAGGAATACGATGGTCATTATCATTTTGGCCTTTCCTCCCTATTTTCTCTGTCTCTGGCTGCGGTAACTTTTTTCATCATTAAAACATTTTAGCTGGGTTGCTTGAACCCTTTCCAGTTTTGTGAAGACGTTAAGCAAGTTGCTTTCTCTGCGAAGGAAGGTTTGGGAGAATGTGGTTACAAAGAGCAATTTAATCATAAGGCAGAGGACAGCTATTCTTTCAGTCCATTCTCCCTAGTGCTGTTCTGTCCTCTTCATTTAGCATTTATGAACACTCTTTTCTTTGTTGTGAACAATTTCTATAGATTTAAACCACTTATTTCTCCTATCCCTTTATTAATATTAATGTGAACTAGAAAGCACTTTAATCCTTTGCTTTAGTTTCTCTATTATACATCCCATTATTCTTTTCCTGACTGATTTTATTCTCCCCTTTTTTGTTCTTTTTATTTTTTAATTGACACATCATAATTGTGCATGTTTATAGCGTACAGTTTGATGTTTTGGTGCATGCATGTCGTATAGTGTTCACATCGGGGTAGTTGGCGTATTCATTACCTCGAGCATTTATCATTTCTCTGTGGTGAGAACATTCAAAAGCCCCTCTTCTAGCTATTTTGTAATATGCAAGACCTGCTGTTAACCATCATCACCGTACTGTACAGCAGATCACCAGAACTTATTCCTCTTGATTGTTTAAGTTTTTTTCTAAATGTCAAATTTTCCTTTAATATTTCCTGATGCTATTTTGGAGAAGTAGCACTGTCATGGGTCGTCCTTTTCAGTCCAGGGAGAAAAGGGCTGAGGCCAGCCGGTCTGGTTCTGAGTGAAGTTAATTTCCTTCTCCCTAAGGACAAGGTGGACACCAGCAAGAACCGCTCGCAGCACTTGGGTCAAGACTGTGGCACCCCTGGGCTCTGCGTTTGTAGAGGGCGCTTGAAGAGAACCCCGGTGAAAAGCTTCTTAATACTGCCCAAAACTGTCCCAGGGTAGCTCACATTCAGAATGGAGAAGCTAGAATAACGTCCGTAGGTATTGGAGAGGAAAGTAAAAGGCCTCGGGACCACCGAAACTCATAATGCACCAAAGGGAAAGTTAAGCCTGGAGACTGAGTCAGGCGGCAGTGCTGTCCTTTTACACAATAGATAGCTGTCAAAGCCCTATACAGCAGCCAGACCCCTACGAGAGCCCACCTGCGCCTCCCAGCGGCTGCCCTCACAAATCGCTCACAAATTAACTCTTTGCTGGCCCCTACCCTTTCAAGATGTATATCCGCCCATAAACAAGGACATATCAACTGTATCTTTAGGTCTGCAGCCTAAACCTAACTCCTTGTCCAGGAACTGAAGTTTGGTAAATTTTACACTGATAATGTCAATTACAAGCTGCTTTTCCCAGGTGCAGAACAAAGACAGGATGAGATCTGTCATTCCTCTCCTCTGCCTATGCTGAGACTTTACATAATTAAGTCTTCCTTTTCTCCCTTTTTGAATGTTTACCTTATGTATGGCTTAGGTTTACTTGGCATTAATTCAAATCACAGGAATGCTCACCACCTACCCCCCTTTTCCTGCCTGCCTTCTCCCCTTTAAAGAAATGTGTAAATACCGAGCCTCCTGAAATCTTTCTTGGAGCACAGGCCACAGACGATTCTGTGACTGTGTTTTCTTGGGCATGACCTCAAACTCTGGCTCACTAAACCTTGATTGATGGAGACTCTTGCCTCAGTCTCTTATTTGGGTTGACAGTAGTCATTTTAGTTAATGAATATGTTTGAGACAGAAAATGAAGTTCTCTCCATGCTTAGAGAAAATTCTAAGGCTGAACCAAGAAGTTTGCATATTTACCAGACCTTCTAGCTTTGTCGGAGCATAAACATTGGTAATAAAACGAGGTGTCTTCTGGGCAGCTGGGTGATGCTGGCCTGAGCCTTGGGGCCTGACAGCATCAGTCACTACCTGAGGGATGGTAAACGTTGTCCCGAATGGTGGGCTTCACTGACTTGTCTTCTCTCCTGTCCCTCTTTCCCACTTCCTGGAGAAACAGGACTGCAGGCACAGCCAGTAACAAGCTGTGGTACGCCTCTCTGGCCCTGGTGACGCTCATCATGTATTCCGTTGCCACTGGAGGCTTGATTTTCATGGCAGTTTTCTATACACAAGCAAACGGCTGCGTGGAAAACAAAATTTTCCTGGGAGTCAATGGAGGCTTGTGTCTGCTTATCTCAGTAGTAGCCATCTCTCCCTGGGTCCAAGAGCGTAAGCATGTTTTTTCTCATTCTTTCTTATTTATATTTTTTGTAAGTGTCTTTGAGCAAACCCAACGGATATTTTGGAAACTAGGGTCATTTCTTAATTCACTGTGGATAGGTCTGCAATCGCAAAGGTGGGCTTCAGTCCCTTCATGGTCCATGTTTGGGCTGGGTGTGATTGCCAGGCACACCTCAAAGACTTGAACTTAGGAAGGCAGTGAATAGGGAGATAGTGCCTTTATTAAATAATGTACCACACAGAGCCTTTAAATGTGAAATGCCCTTAGTGTATGTCAAGCTCAGTGTTTATGAGCTTACCTATAATCTCTGTGTAAAGCTTGAATGAGAGGGCTCCAAAGGAGTTGTTTCTGGGGTCATCTTTCACTCAAGGCTGTGGACATTGTGGTCTAGGAGTCAGGAAGCAGGAAATCTGATCCTGGGTCAGAGAGTAGCTGGCCGGATCAGCCAGCCTTCCTCACACCCAAGTTCTTCCTTAGTGAAGTCAACAGCAGCACAGGTGCCTGGCCTTGCTCGTGGTTGTTTCAAAGGCAAAAGGAAGACAATGGGATATGAAAGTGCTTTAGAAAGTATATGCGTGAGCAGTCATTTATCAGCTGCTCTTGATGTCTTAAGGCCGTGTGCTGTCCTTGGGATTATGTAGAGAGGTGTCCCTTATCTGATGTATTCTTATAGATATCTTATTCTATAGGTGGTGAAAATGCACATGATATTCAGGTTTCTAGGTAGGAAAAGGAAAATATAGCCAATAAATTCATAGCCCCTTTGAATCCTTTCTAAAATAGTGGTTTTAAAAGGCAACTAATAGGAAATAATTTAAAAGTTTTTCTGTACTAAAAATTTCAAGTCCATTATTGAAATTGAGAGTATTATTTTCCCAATCCTTTAATTGATCAGCTAAGAATTCCTAAAGCAAACCATTGGTTTTTAGATTAAAATCTTTGGGTTAAATTTAATCTTTTGAAGTAGCCATAATATTTTTAAATATTTGATTTAATGCCATTGGTTGCTAACGTATGTCTCAGTCCTATGCCAAAGAGCAACATTAAAAGAGTCTATTCCTATACCCTTATTGGTAAGTATAATTTAATAATGATAATTCTGGAAACAAATTTGACCAGAGGGAAAACTGGGTAAAACTGAATCCTTTCATGTCTACAGGTGATTGAAAATTTCACCAAAGAAAGAGAAATCCCCTATCACATCCTGGTTACTCTGAACAATCCAAACTCTTAGTTTAATTTAAACATTATAACTCGCAAGCTTTTCTCCCAATGAATGCTGAACCCCAGGGCCTTCCTAATAGCCTGGACCAGCTCTTGTATTTAATCAGTGTTCCCAAAGGTTTTTTGTCCATTGACAGATAAGAGCTTTTTGCCTTGTATGGACTGTGTCTCATGACCTTGTAGAATCTAGAACATATGCCCTGGGAAATCTGTCTCACCATTTAACCCACAGAGCTAAGTGGTCTTATAAATCACGATGGTAAATTTTTTCTGATCTTGTGATTTAAGAGCTAATGTCATGAACCTCATGAACACTAGCTGGTATGTTTACGTACAGCCGTAGGTTTGATAAGGTGTTGGTAGAGAACTTGGCATCTCTGAAAATAGCCATGTTAGGCCCAGTGTATGACTCCCTCCCTTTAATATTTTTTTAGTGTTATCTGACATGTACCTCTTTTCTTTACTTTAATGGTGGACACTCAAATTTGAGGACTATTGTGGGAGGAGGTATCTAGTTTTTGAGGCATATGCATTTTTATCGTTCAAATTTAAAACCTGTCTTCAGTCTTTCCCTCCTTGTTTTCCAGGGCAGCCACACTCAGGGCTCCTACAGTCAGGGCTCATAAGCTGCTACGTCACCTACCTCACCTTCTCAGCTCTGTCCAGCAAACCTGTAGACGTAGGTAAGCCAGCCTTGTTAGGGGGCGTGTGTGTGGTGTGAATATTTTCATGTGTGGAGGAATGAGCTGCTGTTTAAATATTAGAGATGCAATAAATCACAGTAGAGATGATCTAGACTTTTTCATGATACAAAGTGTTTAGCTCAGGCTGTGAAAATGAAAATTCCTTCTTTTGAGTCTTTCTGGTATGGAGGAAAGACATGAGCAAAGGTGGGCCATTGAGTTTTTTTTAGGCCCAGTCTGCATTTTGCTCTTCTGTGTTTTTTTTTTTTTTTTGAGACAGAGTCTCACTCTTTTGCCCGGGCTAGAGTGAGTGCCATGGCGTCAGCTTAGCTCACAGCAACTTCAAACTCCTGGGCTCAAGCAATCCTTCTGCCTCAGCCTCCCGAGTAGCTGGGACTACAGGCATGCGCCACCATGCCCGGTTAATTTTTTTTTTCTTTTTTTCTATTTTTAGTTGCCTGAGTAACTTTTCGATTTTCAGTAGAGATGGGGTCTTGCTCTTGCTCAGGCTGGTCTCAAACTCCTGAGCTCAAACAATCCGCCCGCCTCGGCCTCCCAGAGAGCTAGGATTACAGGCGTGAGCCACCGCGCCCGGCCCTGCTCTTCTGTGTTTTAAAGGAACATTTTTGTTTTGCTCTGTTTATTTTGCTTTTGTTTACTATTTTGTTATTATTTGTTTTGTTTATTAATTTCCTTTTCTTCAGGTGGTCATTTTTCTGTCCGTAATAAAGTAACAGAGAGAGTAGACGGCACATGGGGGAGTGGGAAGGAGGGGACAGGATCTGAGCCCAGATCCACTGTTTACTGCCCATATGGCCTCGAATTGCTCAACTTAAATGACGTTTATGTACACTGACAACAGAACATAGTGATTAGAGCATGAGCTTTGTAGTTGGACTGCCTGGGTTTATAGCCTGATTCTGCCACTTCAGTAATTCACACAAAGCTACTTACTTTCTCTCTTTATCACTTTTGTGATATATATATGTAAATAGATATACATGCACATATACAAATACACATAAGTGTATATAAATGTGTGTATGCTTGGATATATTTGAGCTTGTATAAATCAAATTAAATAAATTTAGGCTCTAAAAAACTTAAAGTTTTTTTCCTATTAAATTTGGAAAGCTAATGCAATGATGATTTTTTTCCCCCCTCCAACACAGAGTGTCACTCTGTTGCCCAGGCTAAAGTGCTGTGACGTCAGCCTAGCTCACAGCAACCTCAAATTCCTGGGCTTAAGCCA